AAAATCAAGTTTTCGTCTAAAACTGCAAATCAGGTTTTCTCATCAAAACTGTAAAATCACGTGTTCTCGTAAAAACCAGAAATCATGTTTTCTCGTGAAAACCGCAAAATAATGTTTCACTCAGAATCTTATTTTTTGGTTTGCAGGAAAAACCACAATTTTGATTTTATGGAAAACATAATTTTTTTTATTTGAAGAAAAACGTAATTTTGTAATCTTGGTGGAAAACGTCATTTACGGTTTTGGTGGAAAATTTTAATTTTATGGTTTTGAAAGAAAACATGATTTTGCGGTATTGACTGATGAGAAAACATGATTTTCCGGGTTGGACATGAAAAAATATGATTTTGTAGTTTTGACCGGAAAACGTGAATTTACAGTTTTATCAGAAAAATATGATTATGTAGTTTTGGGAGAAAAACATGATTTTTTCCGTTTCAATGAGGAAATGTGATTTTTTGGTATTGGCGAGAAAAATGTGTTGCTATCCACATGTATGTTGTATTTACAATCCACATGTACACATTTTATCATGTGCACTTTTTCTACTTATTTTAGATATAGTTTTTTTCGAAAAACATGAATTTGTGCTTTCCATGGAAAATATAATATTTCAGTTTTGATGATAAAGCATGATTTTGCGATTTTAAGAGAAAATATGATTTTGTGGTTTGGTGGGAAGATATAATTTAGTGGTTTTAGGGGGAAAATGTAGTTTTTAGGTTGATATGTAACTCGATTTTAGTTTTGGCAGGAAACTCAATGTTATGGCTTTGGTGTGAATTTTTTTTTTTGGCAGAAAGAATTGATTTCGCAATTTTGGTGAAAATCCTGATTTTTTGGTTTTGGCAGAAAATGTGATTTTAGGATTTTCGACAAAAACATGTTTGTTTTTTTTTGGCTAAAAATGTAATTGTACAGTTTTAGTAAAAAAAAATAATTTTACGATTTTGATAGGAAAAAAACGATTTGGTGGTTTTAGAGGGATCATTCATTTTTTGGTTTTAACGCTTTGACGAGGAATACTATTTCTGGTTAATGAGAGTTTTATAATTTTTTAAACATTAATTAGATTTTAATTTTGTAGGTTGGGTTGATCATCATGGTTAAGTGGTTGGAAGGTGAGAAAATGTGTTAAAATGCAGAAAAAGTGTTGATAGTGAAAAGTGTCCTAGGATTTAAATTGTTAGTGTAAAAGTGACCAAATCTCCCAAAGAAAAAAAAACCAGAATAGAAGGAAAAGAGAAAAAATGTGAAGAAGAGAGAAATTAATTATGACAAGCCATGGTTTTAGAGAGTCCATGTAAGTTGAGTTAAATTCACACAGATAATACAGATCGAAACTATGCTCTATTTTCTTACTATTTTGTATGTTTATGGATGGTGAAATGTCGGATCATGTAGTATTTGTTTTTCAAATTCGGTAGATTAATTAGTATGATAGCTTTTTTAAGGTTTAATTTTACTATTAAGCTTTTACGTAAAGAGATCTATACAATGAGAATAATTAAAATAAAATTAGAAAAGAGATAAATCAGTAAGCACTCAAAGTAAGCAACATATTGTTTTGCGAGGGATTACTAAAGATTAAAGACTCAATCTTTACTGCTGGAATAGTTGGATCTTAAAGGATATAATCTTTATAATAATCCAAATATATTACACTTCAAACTAAAATGATAATTGTTGACACTCTCTTTTTATTGCTCCAATAGGAGCCAGAGAAAATACAATTCTTGATATTGCTCTATTGATAATAATAGAGTCAAAGAGATCCTGATCCAAACAAATGATTAATTATAATTCTATGATGCTTTTTAAAATAACCATAATGTAGGACAAATAATCTATCACTATCCAATAAAGAACCTTCAACTATTAAATCTGGTAAGAACCGTCGCCACCATCCACTTCTAAATCTGTCAATTACCTTTTCTAAGTGGTTCAATTAAACTGAAACTTTTGTCTTCCCAAATCCATTGAAAGAAATGCACAAAATAATAATCAAAAAGTTTGACGGGTTTAAAATAAATTGGCAATCAAACAAATCAAAGGAACATATTGAAAACAACTCAAAAGTACTGAAGCTAAACAAGTCTATCAAGCCGATGTTGGAGTTATAAAAGCTTCTGACATTGGGTTGAAGCAACAAAAAAATCTGTTTTACTCTGTCTTTGCGGCTAGGGCTTCTTTATGTTTAAAATTGTGCCTCAACTGGTGAGGCGAGGAGGAAGGGGAATTACGCATCAAGCCTTAGCGGCCACTTTGGGAAGCTTGCCGACAAGAGGCGTTCCTACATAAACAGCTTAATGTTAACTTTATTAAAAGAATTGAAATTAAGTTTTGTAACTTTATGGAAAGATCAATGTGAAATTAAGTTTTTCAACCATATAACGTAGGTATAAGATAATTACATATTAAGGCTGTAACTAGAAGTATAGTTTATGAATGCTCTGAATGAAAAAATTACAAAAAAATGGAATGTGAACGGTGGAATGGTAACAATTATGGAATAACATGAAATGGAATGACTAAGTGCAAAAACAACATTTTTGCAACATAAATGCTAACATTATAAAGGAATGGAATGGAATGACATTAATTATAATTAAATTATTAAGACTACTTTCATTATACGACTTAAATGTATTTGACAATAAAATAAATTTAATTAAAATTAATAAATAATACTAAACAGAAGCAAAAATATTTATTTAAACTTTAGTTTGGTACTAAACATTTTTATTAGTGAAATCTAACGCTTAGAGTGATACATAGAATGTTTCGCAATCCAAATATCTTTCGCAATTTGATCACGAACAACTTTCATATAAGCTCCAGCTATTGTATCCTTCTCATTTTGAACACTCTGGTAATCATTTATATCATCATTAATATTTTGATTACCATGTAAAACATCATTTCCAGCTTCTGCTTCTTCAAACTCAACATCTCTAATGTTGCCTCTTTGGATGAAATTGTGTAGCCCCATTGTAGCAAATATAACCTGTCTTTGTACATAAATATTATACCTTGGAAATTCATTTAGAACCCTCCCATTTTTTCCATACTCCAAATGTCCGTTCAATTACAGAACACAAGGATGCATGCCATCTGCTAAACATCTCTTTACTATTTCGTGGTGCTTCACCATTCAAAATCTCTTGTAGATGATAATGTGCGCCACAATTACGCTGTTTTCGATACTGAGCTAAGCAACCTCGACTATTGGCATATCCAGAGTCTACAAGATAAGATTTACCTTCTGGAGGTGTAGGAAACATAGGATCATCCGAATTTTTGTAGCTAACACTCGTGCATCATGGGCTGATCCTGCCATCCCGACAAAACAATAAGTGAAAAGCATATCTGTATCGCACATGGCCAACACATTAAGGCTTGTTGTTCCTTTCCGACTTATGAAATGTATGGAATCTTTTCCTGGAGTAACCATAATTGGTACATGTGTCCCAACTAGTGCTCCTACAAAGCCAGTAGAAAGGCCAATATCGACCATCTCCTTCTAAACAGTTAGATATATCTTCCATTTCTTGAGTTGTTCGTGGTCGCATATTGTCTACAGCCATTCGTTCCATTGCCCCAAGTACTTCATGAAACTTTTGTCCTATTGTCTCTTGTGTGTGTCCAAATCTTAAACCAAGATCATACTATGTATCATTTAGCCCACAAAAAATAAGGAAGATTGCAACGCTCTCATCAACGCATACACTATGAGTGTCTTGTACGCCATACTTTCCTTTAAGTAGCTCACACAGACGTGTAAATCCCTCTCGACTCATTCTCACTAACCTTTGATATGAACCTTCATTGTCATAAATCTGATTCCGGATCATACACCATCCTTTACCCTTTTCTTGACTCACTGGTTCCTTGTAGAAAACTTTACATTAATAGTCCATCGCAGGAGTGATGTAAGCATGGAATATCTCATATTCTTCTAGTCATTTCAAAACTCAGTATGCTCTTCATCAGCCATTTTTTGATTCCATTAGAAAGTAATTCTGCAACGCGAAGCTCCTGATAAAAACATAATAAAACCTTATAAATAAATAACTATGTTAGAAACTAAGAAAATGATTAATGAAATATTTTATTAAAAGAAACGAAGAAAAACCTTTTTATTAAAAAATTAATAAAATTATTACAAAATTATATTAAAACCCAGAACTTAAACCAAGCGAACTATTCCCATGAATTTCAAGTAAAGATGAAAAACTAGTCCCTGAAGATCCTGATTCAAACATTCGTAGTCCCTGACCGAAACTTGGTGAAGCGCTAGTTGTAATTCCAGCCATTTGCGAATGAGCTATTGGGGCAGAAGACGTTGAAGTGTTAGATGTCTCTCTTCAGTTAGTGATTAGGCATGGGTTACCATATCTATCAATACTACTTAGCCTCTCTAGAAACCAAATTTTATTTTCTTCACTTCGTAATTTTATAAAACCATCGCGGATTTCCCCGTCTTTCATCAATAGTCCACTTGCAGCCCACTAGAAGCTTCCCATCGGTCTAATGTTTATAGTAGAGCCAAAGCATCTCCAAAAGTTGCTTTCTGGTGGTTTCTTGACCGTAAAACATCTAATAAGTTTGTGCGAGACTTCCACATGCTGAAATCCACTTTGGATTTGTGTCTCAAAATTGACTCTTCTTCTATTCGTATGCTTAGTAGATGTACTCTGAGCACGTAAAATTGACTTGTTTGCACGAGGTGGAGAACGATGTGCTTCTCTAGTGGGAAATTCATCATCCGAAGCTAAGCGGCTAATCGGTTCCAAAGTAATTCAGATTCCGCTATCTTATACAGTTTCTCCTGCTGTAGTTTCATCATCACTAGCTTCCTCCGCTTGCGTTTTATGGATATGTTCACCGAGCATGAATGGTTAATAACGTTCATCTTGATCCAAATCATGTTCACCATAAATTTCATCAAGTAACTCTTTGAAACGAAGAGGTTTGCTTTGCAACACCCGTATAAATCTTCAATTAGTTGTTCCAGCCTCCTATAATTCTTTATAAGTAAAAATAATGACCAAGATTTTTAAATACATGTAGTATATGTTTTTGAGTAATTTGTGAAACTTACAGCAATTCGATCGTCCCACAATGAACTAGGCATCTCTATCTGTTCCGTTGTAGGATTAACTCGAACACCGGTACGGTTAACTAACCTATTGTAATGGTGTCGTAGCCGGCGCATGTAGTCTAGTCTATTTCTTAATTCTGGCTCATAAATAATCTTATCTTCGGTCATTTCATAATATTTTTCTTCTATTCTTTTCTTAGCTGGATTGTCTGGCAATCTTATAGTGCAGTCTTTTGTATTTAACTCAACGTTCACGAGACTGAGTAAAATTTCTGTTTTTCTTGGGATCCAATAGTTATACTAAAATAAATATAAAAATATATATGTTATATATAATTCATGTTATAATAAAATAAACTAAATTTATGTTATGGAAACTTACTTTTCTTGCACAATTTGCTGGTGTTATCATGGGATTTGTCTTTGCGATTAAGTCTACCTCCATTTCCCTCACGGGTTGTTGATTCTTCACCAGTAGACTTATCTTTACCATTGAGCCAACTTTTGTTTCCTGATTTGTTGCTTCTATTCATCATATTTCTGCAAAAAAAAATAGTCATTAGAAAATTAATAATGAAACCTAAAATGTTTCAAACTAAACGACATGAATATAAATGCATCTCAGATTTAGAAACCAATATACATCACTTAACTTAATTACTATAATATTTTCAGACGAATGAATCAATTAAAGAAGCTAAAAGGTTTCAAAATTAACCGACAACAGAAAATCAGAATAAAACTTTTGGACAAAAATTATGATCACTAAGAAGAAAGAATCATACATAAAACACTGAGTCAACTATTATTTATTTAGATGTCATCTTTGTTTCTATTTGATTATGTTCAACTTTCAGATATAGCAAAGCAAAATTGTACTTGGGTTTATATAACGTCATCACTAGATAAACATTAATAATTAAGTTTCTCAGAGAAAAAAGAGTATAGCAATGATGAAAAGATAGAACAAACATTAATAATTAAGTTTTCTCAGAGAAAAAAAGTATAACAATGATGAGAGTATAGGATATTACATGTTAAGAGAGAAAGCACTTTTGATTTTTACGTTTATCACTACGGCGGAGTCTTTAACTAAGAAAATATGCTATTTTTCAGTTTAAAGTTGTAACAAATCACAGATTCTACCAGAATTTTCAAATTTAAAATCTTAATAAATCCACCACTTTGTCTGTAAATAAATAAACACTATCTAAACAAATTCAAAATATCTAAATTTGTTCCACTCCACTACGTTAACGAAATTTTTTCTTCTGAATGATTTATTATTGCATTCTTTTTGTTTTCGTTCTTACCACATGAATAATTGGAATGTGACCTTTTTTTAATTCCATGTAACTGTTAATTTATATTTGGAATTAAAAGGAATGACCCATTCCATATTCCAATTCCAAATTTTGTTGATCCAATTACAGTCTAAGTTTTCTGTGTGTAATTATGTTTTGTAAATGTGAAATGTAAGCATATATTAAGCTAAAAATTTTAAACATGAATTATAATACCACATATCTATTATATTTAATAAAATCATAGAGACGAGGAATATACAGAATAATTTATTCGTAAAACTTAAATATAAGTACAATTTACAATTATCATTTAGAACCTTTAGAATACATTTTGATAAAATGAGTATGTTTAGTTTTCTTTTGCTATTAACTTGTTAAGTTTGCAATTTTATAATTAATCACATCTGACTTTAGACTATGTTACTTACGTTTTATAATTATGGTAAGGACCAGTGGAGGATATAGCATAAAAGTTTTGAGGGGAAAATTACACATAAATATAAAAACTACGATTAAAATGTAATTTTAAGCACATAAAACAATTAAAATTAGGGTGTGTTACAAATAATTTAATATTTCACTAGATTTTGACCCGCGCAACCGCGCAAGTGTTTGTTTTCGTTTATAGTTAGTTATATAAACATTTTGTTTTTACTTGTAAATTGGTATATATTATAGTAATCACATATTTACGATATGTATAGTAAATATTTTTCAAAGACAATATAATATTATATAATAAGTGTTTTAATCAAATAGATGGTTTCAAATTTTCTATATTATACATGTTTTTCAAACATGTGTTTGTTTCTTCTTCTATATTTTATTGTTTGTTAGATTAGTATTTCATTTTTAGATAAAGTAATATAAATAGAGCTTAATTAAATATTAGTATACTTTAATTTGCAAAGATAATATAAACTTCAAAGAAATTTTTGCTAAAAACTAAACTTATAGCTTCATAAATTAATATTATAAAGAATTTTATTAAAAATAATTTTTTTTTGAAATATCTTTTTTTAAAACAATACAATTTAAAAAACTTACATCGAAATAAATTTTTTCTAATATATATAGCGTGTAAATTTTGTTAGGGTATATAAATATTCCATATTACTAATCTGTGATTTTTGTTAATATATTGTGGATGCATTTAACTATTATTGACATATTTCCTTATAAATAATGGAAGATTCCTAAACTTATATCTATTGACATATTTTGCGTGACTAAGTTGGAAAGTGTGTGGTAATTTAACAAAAAACAGATTGTTAAGCGTATCTTTGTTATTATAGATATGATTTTTCATAAGATATAATAATGATAAGATTATTAGAGAGTTAATATAACATAATTTTCTAATAATAGTCCATTTTTTAAAAAATCACACATGAAGTTAAGTCATGACTTCTGTTTTAATATATAAGACTAGATTTTGACCCGCGCTTAAAAAGCGCGAGTTTATTTTTGAAATAAAATAAATTCTTATAAATGAATTTTTATATAACATAATGCACATGTTATACATTTTTCCAGGTGAACTGAACCGTAACAAACTG